CACTGCTTTCACAGTGGAATATTTACTGGCCTCACAGCCCTTCCAAAATCTGGCTGGAAGCCTTCCTAACTGTACAAGTCTTGTATTTTGCTTGTGCTTAAAACCACCACCATGTGGATGAGTCCAAGGTCTATTGCCAGCTGAAACTGTAGCCAAGCTTCCCTCTGTCTAGCCAGTAGGTGTTGAGTGCCTGGATTGTTGAGAAATCTAAATCTAATTCCAAGGAGCACATTTTCTAGCACAGCCACTCTGGAACATGATGTGGCCACCACCATTCTGGAATATGGTGTGCTAGGGTTTTCTTCTCAACATAAAGTCTCTCATATTTGCAGTTTTGAGGATGCAAAGGATTGAGTCCTGATGCTTCTTGTGATACCCTTAGGCCATCTTTTCTATTCTACTGTTTATTTTTAGCAATCAAGATCTCATTAGTTCTATCTTTTTAGTACGTACTTATATTGGAAATTTCCATCCAAAAGTCACAAAATTTTAAATCATTCTGTTGGACACTACTTTTGATTCTCAACATAGATCTGGCTAAAAGCCGCAACAGTAGCCATGCCAACATCTCAACATTCAACTGTCATGATATTCCTTCTACAAGATTAGTTAGTCTATTATCAGTAATCTCAATCTCAGACAAAGTTTTTGGATACAAGAAAAATGCAGACAAACTTTCTGCCACGCCATAACACTGTACTAGCCAAAAGCCAATACAGTCCTCCTTCCCAGAAGAAACCTCCAGAGCCTTACGTTTACTGGCAGGATTTTTATCAGCCTTCTGATTTTCTGAGCTCTGGACACAATTTGCTATACAGAACAATGTAAGGAATTCCAGCCCTACTTTTTCAGTCAGCATCTCTGTATGCTGACTGAATCCTTTCCATAAGCCATTCTCAAAAGCTCCTGAGCCTTATGATCATGTAGAGTCACACAATGACCCCACATCTGATACTAAATTCTCTCTTAGTGACTTTTCTCATTGCTTAAGCAAAATACCTGCCACCCAAAGTTAAATATTTATCTCACTGTTTGTGGAAGTTTCAACCCATAATCTACTGGATCCAAGGCAGAGTGGCACATAACAGAGGGCCAACAGTATCGTGGATGCAGAAGACAGCAAAATCAACAAGGGAGGAGGGAGACAGCAAGCATATTACCTTCCCTTACATTGCATGCAGACTACCTGTTTTAGGGTGGATATATTACTCACACTCTTAGTCCCAGAATTACAAGATAAAACAATCACAAACTTTAGATTCAGGCAACTCTGAAAAGTCCACCCTGCAGGACCATGTGAGGCTTTGGGAGGACATACTGACATAGACCACAATGGCTGGGAAAACTTTCTAGCTCCAGTGGATCTCGTAACAAAAAAAAAAGTATAATAATTTGAATACAATCAGGAAGATGGTACAAAAGGAAACCTCAGCACCAAATTTTGTTTGTGGGAACTGCAGAAGCTACTAAGATAACACAGCACCTTAGGTAAAGTGTAAGGCCAGGAAGACATGCATCAGAGTGAATGGAAGTATTCATGTCATTTTACAAATCCCAGTCTCTCCCTCCTGACACTGTGATTGAAAGAAAATATACAAGAGAGCAATATAAGTGGTCTATGGATTTGGGGGAACTTTCTGGGAAGCTGAATTTTGTCTCCTTTGACCTAGAGGGCTACTGCAACCAGCACAATTTGCACACCATTTGTAGTGCTAGAGACTGAGAACAAAGATGAGCACCCCTACTTCAGGCCTCGAGAGACTGAGCGACAGCAGACAGTACCAGGGGAGGCAGAAGTGACTGTACCTGGAGAGCGTGGAGAGAAACATCTTCCCATAAGACTGCACACATAGCTCAGAAGAGACACATTCGCAAGGATTTTAGGGCTCCAGTAAGTACAGCTCTGCTAGTCTCTAAACATCTCACACTGTACAAAGCTAATCTGCAATAACTGAGAAAGTTATTGCACATCTCAACAAAAGATCATATGGCATGCAAATAAACAGAAAAAACATGGTGCACACAAAGGGAAAAGCTAAACCTCCAGAAACCAATCCTAGAGAAATAGGGCAGTAGAACAACACTGTGGTGCCCAAGAAGTAGATCAGGAAGTAGTGCCAAAGAGGAAGGTGCCAGGTTTCAGATGTAGACCACAAGTCCATGACATCCTGACATACTCAAGAGTGTGCTCTTCCTAGCCAATGGGAACCACTCAAGGCAATCAGTTTGGCACAATAAAACTAACGGGTCATAGGAACTTACAGATTTTACAGAAAATCTGTCATGAGGGCCCAATTATTTCCATTATGCTATTGCTTTCATATTACTATACATTTTTTTCTGGTGTGAACATCTTATTTTCACAACAGGTAGAATTTCTCTGAGGTCACTTTCAAGTTATTTCTTTAAAACCATAACTTCTGACATTGCGGCTGTAAAGTTATTCAATTGATGTAAATATGAAAATCCTACAGTAGGCTGCTTTTGAGAAGATCCCCACGTCACTCTAGTACCTAGTGTTTATGCTTTTGTCTCTTTCTCTTTGAATATAGGCTGAACCTATTAAAATACTTTTGAAAAGCAGAGCATGACTAACACATGGAGATTTTATGTTCATGGCTAGATTACAACAGTCTGTTACTTTTCTTGTTTGGGCTCCTTCTGTATCACTGTGTTAGCTGCCATGCTTGCTTTGGTTACTGCCAAATAAAAACAGACCCATGTGGCCAGAAAGAGCAAGTAGTCTGTGACCATCCTCCCACAAAAAAACTGAAATACACCAATTGTCACATGAATGACAAGGGCACTCTTCCACCTCCAGCAATCCTGGAGAGGGTGGCAGCTTTAGCTAATGTTTGAGCACCTTTGTGAGAAACCCAGGGCCAGTGGAAACAGTATCTGGTCTACAAATTATGTGATCTTTAAAAGACATATCCAGTCTGTTGCTCTTTGCAAAATCATTAACAAAAACCAAGTAGCAGCAATAACTCAGTTTGTAGGCTTAGGTCAATAAAGACAATGTAACACTGCATTCAGTCTTACATAATAAAAAAATACCATCCAGGGGTACAAAATGGATGAGAGCTTGGGAAACACAGCAACACACAGACATTCAACAAATACAATGTGATTCCAATCATATGGGGCACACAATCATGAGTGGTCACAAAATTCAGAGGAGCAGAAAGTAGATGAGGAGTTTCAGGGCACAGTGAGACATCCAGACCAGACACAAGTGAGGAAAGAGTTATTGGTTTTCCAAGATGAAAAGCTTCTAGAGATCTGTTAAACAGGAAATATGATTATAATAGTACTGAGCTGTTCACATAAAGTGATTGATCTGCTGGATTATATGCTTTTCAGATTGTTAAATTTTTTAAAAATTAAAACCATAAAAACATTTGTTTAAATAAAATAATACAGATTTTTATTTTGTTGTTGTTGTGGTTTTTGCCATCTGCCTTTATAGAAGCCAGATGTCAGATTAGTAGTTCTCCTCCTTGGAGGGAGATTTTGCTCCTTCCCCATTCATGGATTCTGGTTAAATCTGGTGGCAGTCCTGCTCATCACACCTCTAGTGAGCAGAGGCTGGGGGTATGTTAAGCACCTGAGACTGCCAGGATGGTTCCCCATACCAAGGAATGTGCTACACAAAATGCCATCCGTACAGCCTTTTGAGGCCCCTTCCGGGGTTAGCAGTCAGGGCAAGTCATTGTGACACCAGCCTTTCCCTCCTGGTTAGGGTGATGGAGCTCAGACTCTGGAAGCAGCTGAGGGTGTGGTGAGACTGAGCTGAGGAAGCAGAGTGGAGTGTTTTGTGCAAAAATTATTGAAGCTATAAAGGAAAACAAGAAGGAGGAGTAGGCTAAAAGTGACTGATCCTGACAATGAGTTCTGATAATAGGGAAGAGAAGACCCTGAGGAAACCAATTTGGGCCACTCTGTAGATCTGTTATCACATGCGGCCTTTAAACTTCTCTAAAGTCACTAACCTGATGATAGCAAAAGAGGAAAGCTGATTGGAAAAACAGTCACTGCTTGGTTATTCGGACAGAAGTGGTTCAGTACGCAATGGTTCTGGAGGGGAAAAGGATGTTCTGTCCACACAGGGACCAAGCTCCCTACCTGGGGCCTTGGGTAGAGCTGCCCCCCACTCACTGGATTCTGTGATAGGAATGAGGGCTCAAGGAATGATGGGAAATGGTAGCAGGATTCCCAGCAAGGAAGGAGAAGGGGCAGCAGACAGGGGGGAGGTTTATCCGCCACTTGCCACAAATTTCAGAGTAAATCCAGAATGTCTCTCTGATTCATCTCTGGACATACCATGAAAAGAATCTATTTAGTAATCTCTATGGGATTCTGGGTTCCAAAGCAAAGGCCTTCACACTGAGGTACATCTCCAGCTTGTTTTATGTTTTTATTATTATTATTATTATTATTATTATTATTATTATTATTTTGAGACAGTCTCACTAAGCCACGAAGTTATCCAGGCTGTGTTGAGCTTATGATCCTCCTGCCTTAGCCTCCTAGAGTGCAAAATATTATGTTCATCACTACTGTTGTTGGTTGTGTAATAGTGAATGCTTCTTGAAAGTTCATAGCCATTATTTCCATTACAAATATGGTAAAATATAGATTCTGAAATGCCATTGTTCATCAATTCCCCTGTTCCCAGAAATGTTATTATTAGTTATATTTTAGTAAGTTCTCAGAAGAATACAGTAAGCTTTTCATGAACATTTTTTCTTATTACTGAGGCGATTTTCCACTGTGGGTATGCTCTCTATCAGATTAAAAGCTGGCGCTTTGAGAACACAGACTTGTCCAGTGACACAAATTTAACAAGTGTTGGTGTTGACATGGACATAGGGCTAAGTGATCTCCACATTCTCTCAGCATTAGTTGTTTCCATGAGTAATTTTGAAAAGTTACTAAGTAACTGTAAAAAGGAAGTCTGGATTTCACAAATCCACAAGCTGTACTCCGTGCATCCTGTGCAGCTGCCAACACTAGACCACAGGGCTGGTGGCTTGCAGGAAGATGAAAAGCAGAAACTATTGATCAGAACCAGAGAACCCGGAACCACAGCCTCCTGGAGATTCTGAGAGCTCAGCTGGATCAGTAAGCTGGACCAGCAGGCTGGACCATAGACACAGGTAGGTGGTGCTGGAAGACTTTCTCTGACAGCACCCTGCTGTGACCAGGCTGTGAGGTGAGTCTAACACAAACTCCCTGAAGCTCTTGGGACCCTGAAATGCCTTGGAAGGAGAATGCAGAAGCGAAGCACTGCTTGCTCCTCTCCCTTTCTTCCATGTCCTCACTGCATGGGTCCTCATCCTCATTCACCTCAGGCCTCCTCCTGGTTAAAGGCAACAGTGCACTCAGCTCTGCGTTCTCCCAGGCCACTTGCAAGTGGGCAGCCCCTGGCTAAGAGAGTGCTGGGGAGGTGGACAGCTGGAACCTAATCACATCTCACAATGGGCAGAGGGTGAAATTCACCCCACACAGAGCAGTGAGGTGCTCCTAGGTAGGACGGGGGAAAGGGAGATGGCTGCACAGTGCATTCCCTGTATGAACCTTTGCTTCTGAAATTCGGGACCTATTGAGACTCATGCTGCGTCCCTCATGTGTGTGTGTGTCACCTACAGTCAGTGTCAAGTATCACTGGGAAATCTCCAGGAACCTAAGCTCTCCGGTCTCATCTGCTCCATCCTTTGAGGCTGTTTCCCTGAGAGAAAGGTCCAGTCTGCACTGTAGAGCAAATACCCCACTGCTGGGAAGGCTGAGCATGGATGCTCAGTGCTTTATAACAGCTGAATTGTTTTCTCTTCCAGTGTTGGCAGCACCAGCAAGATGTCCCATCCCATAACCAATGAGACGATAGCAGTGCTTGAGGGTCATGGCATCCATCTCCATTTGCCCCAAACAAAGAAACCTCCTACCACCGTCCCAGCGCAGGAAAGCCTGAAGAAGCGGCTGCAGGCAGAGAGTAACGTGTTTGGGGTAAATCCAGCTCAGGCCACATGTGTCTGGGCAGAGGGCAGGGAACAGTCCCTTTGTCCAGGGACTAGGGTGCCACTGGAAGGAGGCAGAGACTTTCTTGGGCCAGACCCAGTGCAGGCTACTTACCCAGCAGCAGGGCTCACCTTGGCTGGAGAGCTGCTTGGTTCTCCCTGGGGTGCACCCTCTGGAGCAAAGCAGTGCTTTCCTTATAATGCATGCAATCATCTGAGTGTTTGTTGTTTTGCTAAGTGATTTCATGTTCTGTAGGACAGTTCTTTAGATTGTCCTCTATGAAACTAATGGTAAAGAAATACATATCTTATGGATCATTTTCTACTTGTTTTTTTAATGCATGTCTCACAAGTGTACTGATTTATCGAAGGGACTTTTTCTTTCACTGCAAATCACAGGAAAGGCAAGTTCCCTCCTCCTCTTTCCCCTCTTTTGAGGAAAGGAAGATGTGTTTTCGGTCGGCCTCCCTCCTCCCAATGGATGTGTATGGAGCACCTCCATGGGCTGAAGGGAGGACGTGAGCAGGACTCTATCCACTCCTGGCAGGGAAAACAAGGGGCCTGGTCTCCAGACTTTTTTTGCACCTCTGACTGACACTCGCATGTGTTCCATGAGGCTCCCTGGACACAAGGCTCAGGACATTGCAGATCAGTATCCACAGAGCCACAGGTCTTGGGAGAAGCAGCTCAATTCTGCCTCTTTGGGCAGAGCCTTGGGATCCCCAGGGAAGCTGCATGGAGGGAAGAGGCTGTGGAGGCCCAGAGATCCAGCTCCCAGATCTGTGTCTGAAGGGGCTGGGGAGACCTGGGGAGCACCTTCTATATCACCAACGCACCAGACAGAGTGAGGTGTTCAGGTGACCCCTTTCCCATGAGAGAGGTGGAAAAGAATATCTGCAGGTGCACAGACAGAGGCCGGGACCAGGGTCACTGAGAGGCCAGGACCCAATGCATAGCAGTGGCAGAGGCTCCAGGAAAGGCCTTCGTTCCCTGTGAGAAGTAGCATCTTCTGCTGTTTCTCACTGCACAGCTTATAGTTGTACATCTTGACAGGAGCCTTGTACCAAGACATGACACAGGAGGACCACAGGAGAGGCACACAGGTGCCATGTCCACACAGGCTGGTATTAATCTTCAACCTCTCTTCTCCCTCCCACAGGTCATCCAGATCCTGTGTGGCGTGATGGTGTTGAGCTTGGGGGTTATTCTGGCAGCTGCTCCGGCTTCCCCCTATTTTACTGCCCACTTTTCTCTACTGATAGATTCTGCATGCCCATTCTTAGGAGCCCTGTGTGTAAGTACAGAGGGCGAGGGGTGTGGGGATGGGAGGGGAGTGAAGGGCAAGGCTTTAGATTCTTCATGAAACACCTGATGCATTTCCGTTTCCAGGAAGCAAGGATACAACAGCACCATGTCCTCTCCTGTGGGTGTCTAGTAGGGAAGGTCTGAGCTATAGGAGGACAGATATTGCTTTCTTTTGAATCTATTTTCTGCCTCATTCAAACAAGCATTACTTTTGAAGATCATCTTATTTTTCCCCTTATCATGTTGAGCTCTCTCAGATAAGTGGCATCATGCCAAAGTTTTCCAAATGTTCTCAAAATAGGATAAGGTCTGAAAAAGTGTCTTTCTACCTAGCACCAAGAAAAGTCTTCACATATGCACAAAGATTTCCCAGACACCTATGAGAATCATAAAGGGAGGAAGACTTCAATATCTAAGCAATTAGAGACACCCAAGGTAAACTGAGGAATCATCTACTCTTTGTTGAAGGGCTGGAAATTCCTCAGAAACAGCTTCCTGGCTTGGGGTCAGATTGACCCAGTGGTCCTTTCTCCATGGACAACTTCCTTGTAGGTTTAGTGTGGGTCAGTCTTCCTTACAAGTAAGCTTTGCAATGTCATAGTGCTTTTCTACTGGCATCCAACAATGCAGAAACTATCATTTGCCCTTTCTAGAGTGTTCTTTTGATTACAACTATTTTTCAACCTTTTAAAAATCTGGTTCACTTTTCTTATTTTATTAATAACAGTCTTCATTTTATTTGATATCTCTAGTCCTCCCCAGAGGCCCTGCTCTTATCCATGATGCATCTAAGAGCTCTATACAGTGATTAATTATTTTGTTTCCAAGGCTCCTCAAGCCTGCAACATTCTCATTGACTTGGATGGCTTTCAGGGAGCACTAGCCAGGATTTTTGTTGACTTTCTAAGTTTGAGTTTGTCTGACACTCCTGTCATGTGTAGGTGAAGGTAAAGAATTTTCAGATGAAGAGGAGAGAGGTGATGTGCCTTTCTCACCTGGTCACTAAAAGGGTGCAGATTATCAATGTCACATCTCTGGCAAAGTCCACCTGATATATTCTCTACTCTTTGCAAGTGACCACTAAGCAGAGTTCACATTTGAAGAGGCATCTAATTATTTTTTAAAGGCTCTGCATTCATTTCTGTAAACAAACTACTTAATCCTGGGATAAATAGAACCAAAGATTTTCTTCCATTTTGTTTTATTTTCAGTGGATATTGTGTCTTGTAGCCTTCCTTAATGTATTAGATCATGAAGATCCCTGGGAGGGAAAATGAATTCCCCTGAATTTCTAAACACATTCTTAACATTTTTCTATCACCCAGACTCATTCTATTTCGTGCTTTCTTTCATCATTTTACCTTTGTTTTTGCCTGTGGAACCACTAACTTTAAAGTTTTGATCTGGTTTTTTCATATCTGTTAAACACTCTTTCTCATAGCTTTAAAAAATTCAATTCCTCCTCAAACTCTGGAGGGAGAATCTGGTGAAAGGAGTGTTTGAACTGAATGTTAAAAAGGCAGGGATTTCCTGGACATGAATTCAGAACTCCTGGAGTACATGGTTAGAGGTTAGAGCAGAATCTGTAGGCAGAAGTCAGCAGAACTAGAAGCAGTTTGTTTTCAGAGATGTTTGTTTTGATTGTTGTGAGCCCTCTGCCATGGTCATGTCCTTGAGTTACAAGTAAATAACCTCAGAGGTCTCAGCTCACTGCTGTTCTCTGAAGCTTCTGATGCTGAAGTAGCAGTCCCTCTGGGTCCCCTCAGCAGCTGGACCAAAGACTTGACTCCAAGTAATCTTTCATGCTCTGTGCCACCATGGTCACACCCTGCAATAAAACATCCCCAACAAAGAAATGAATAGCAGGGTCATTTTTCAAATTCCTTTCAGGCCAGCATTATTCTGATACCAAAGCCACACAAGAATAATAGAAGGAAAGGGATCTACAGCCTGATATCCATGAGCAAACAGATGTGAACTGTTCCACAAAATTCTAGCAAAGTGAATGCAGCTTCACATTAGAAACATAATTCCCCATAATGCAGGGGGGAATTATGTTTTCATTATATTGTGTGAATGCATGTTACTGTCCCATAATGATGAGGTTTATTTTGAGAAGTCGGTCCATGCATTCAATATATCTTAATCAATGTCAATCCAGCATCACTCCTTCATCCTTTTATTCTCCCCTCTTATTCATTATTTCTTTATACCTTAAAGTATAGCACCTGTTTTCCTGTTCTATCTCTTATTTTATTTCAGTTTATCTATCTATCTATCTATCTATCTATCTATCTATCTATCTATCTATCTATTTATGTATCTATCTATATTTAGGTTTCTCACACGAGAAAAATCCATTTACCTTAATTAATCTGGCTAATTTCCATTAATCTAATGACTCATTTTCCTGCAAACAACAGGATTGCATTCATCTTTATGGATGCTTAATTTTCCTTTGTGGATGCAAAGGCTACCTTTGCTTTCTACCTTTATTTGCTGACACATAGGTAGGCTTTTCTTAAACTTAGCTATTGTAAATTGCCCACTATAGACATGGCTATGTATGTATCACTATGGTAAATGGTCCTTCATTCTTTCAGGACTAGAGCTAAGAATGATATAGCTGGATCAAATTATATTTATATTTTACTGTTTTGAGGAATCTCCATAATGATTTCCATACTGTTTTTACTAATTTAGAACCACAGCAATACAGGAAGGCTCCTTTCTCCCACATCTTCTTCAGGATTCATTATTTTGTACTGTTGATGATAGTCATTCTGAGTTAGATGCAATTTTAATGCAATTTTAATTTGTGTTTCTTAGGCAGTTGGAGATGTTGAAGTTATTTTCATATAATTTTTGGACATTTGAACTACTTCTTTTGAAAAGAATATATTCAGTTCATTCGCTCACTTTTTATTTTGGGGGAATTTATCTCAAGGATATCAGTATGATTGCATTTATTAATCACTCACTATGATATATTATGTTCATGACAGGAAAAACAGAAGCCACAAGATAGTCCCTAGTTCTTTGTTGAGATCATCTGCAGATGTTCATCTACAAATAACATTGAGCTCTAAATTATTTTTTCTGTCAATAAAAAGTTCCTTACTTCCTGATCTTTAAGTTCCTCATTTTGCTTACTAGAATAGAGTTCTTTTCTTATCTGCATGTTTTCAAAGTTACTGAATACTTGTTGTAGTTACTTTTCTCACTGCGAAAAAAATTTCCTAATGCCCAAAGTTAAGGGAGGAGATGTATTTTTGGCTCACAATTTGTAGAAGTTTCAGTCTATAATTAGCTGGCTCCAAGGCAGGATTGCATGACATAATTATTGCAGAGGAAAAACTGTCTATGGCAGGCAGAATGGAGTGAATCAAACAAGGTGAACCTTGACAGCATCTTTCAGTCCCTTTTATATTGTATCTAGGCTATTGGAGCTAAGGTGGTACCAAACCAATCAGTGAACTGATTTAATCATCTCAAACTATTAATCCCAGCATCACAAACTCTAGATTCAGCCACCTCTGAAAAAAAAAAAGCTTCACCTCTGGCACCGTGAGGCTTTGAGGGGAAATCTAGACACAAACCATCACCCCTGATCCCTAAAGATTCATGCACATTCTTTTAAAAAAAGGGGTATTTACTCCATCCCTAAGAGTTACCAAATTCCCAATAGTTCAGCATTGCTAAAAAGTTCAAGTCCAAAGTCTCTACTGAGATTTAAGGCAAACTCTTAGCTGTGAGATCCTGTACAAATGAAAAGTTAAACACTTCCAATGTAAAATAAACACAACCATTCCAAAATGTACAAAAGGGAGAGGAAAAAGACTAAACAATACAAAGAGCCAAATCTTTGGGAACAAAGCAAGTCCAGAGTCCAGCAGCATAAACATTAAATCCCACAGTTCTTTTTCTAACATCCCTGGCAGTCTGCAGTAAGACAGGAGCTCAAAGGATTAGAGTGGCTCTGCCTCTATGGCACTTCTGGTGGTTGTAGCTCCCATAGTTTCTTCTTTGTCTGGCTTTGCTCACTATTTTCAGTCTTTCTTACTCAAACCATATTCCTAGGTCTTTCAGCCTCCTGGTATCTCCACTTCACCTTTGGCTTTGCACTCAACTTTACACACTGCCCTCTCAGAGGTACACTGCCTGGCCTCCTAGGCTTTCTTCTGAAACTTGAGTAGAAGTCTTAATGATTCTACAGAACATGCATTTTACATGTAACTACAGCCAACACCAGGTGGATGATGCCAAGGTCTGCTGCCATCCAAAGCAGTAGCCAGGATTCCTTCTCTCTTGGCTGTAATTGTCAATTGTTTATGAACCAAATCCTGAGGAACTACTTCTCTAGGACATGACCATGCTGGAACGTGGTGCTCTGAGGCTCTCTTCTCAAAGAAGTCTTTCATCTTTGCAACTCTGATGACTTCTACTGTTCTTGTGATGCTCAGGCAATTTTTTCTCTTGTCTTTTTCTTGAATACATGTTTTCTCCTTGCTAGTCTTTTCAAAGAACTGTTTCTCCTCTGTTCCATTTTTAGAGTCCACAGCTTTACTGGAGCTTCCTTTTTTTGGCAAAACTCAAAACATTTTTAATCATTCTGCTGGCTCTTTGAGTCTTAACATGAATCTAGATAACACCCCCAATGGTACCCGGGTCACCACCTCAACATTAGAGTGCCTTGAAATTTCTTCTGTCAGGTTAATTTTCTATCCTTAATCTCCATCTCAGGCAAAGTCTCTGGATATGAATAAAGTGTAGACAAACTTTCTGCCAATGCATAACACACATCAACTGGAGTGCAACAACCAATGCAGTCCTTCTTCCCTGGAGAAACTGGCCAAGCCTGGTCTTTATTAGCAGGATTTCTTTCAACCTTCTGGTCTTCTGAGCTTTAACCAGACTATCCCATCAAGTAAAGCCTCTACTTTTTCAGCTGGAATCTTCAAACCTTTCCTAACTCTTCCCACAAGCAGCCCCAAAGGCTCCTGAGTCTTATGGCCAGGTATAATCACAGAAACAACCTCACTTCTCAGGTTCCAAGTACTATTGGAGTTACTTTTCTTATTGGTAAGATCACCTGATGTCCCAATTTAAGAGAGTAAAGGTTTGTTTCACTTCAAGTTTATAGAAGTTTCAGTCCATAGTCAGCTGGCTCTAAGGCAGAATGGCATGGCAGATAAACATTGCAGAGGAAAAAGTTTATGGCAGGAAGACAGTAGCAAAGCAAGCAAGGGGAATCTTAAAAAAGCATCCTTCAGCCCCATTTATGTTGTATCTAGCCTACCAGGGCAGTGCCAAACCAATCAGAGAACTGATTTAGTAATCACACATTGCCAATCCCAGGATCGTACACTCTAGTTTCAGCCACCTTTGAAAAAGCCCCATCTAGACCACTTAAGGGTCTGAGGTGACATATAGTCACAAACTATAACAGTACTGTATGTTAAGGGACACATTTTTGTTTTTAAATGTATCTTTTATCACTGGCCATTCATCCTCGTGCTTTTCCATGATAGTTTTTCATGAAGACCGATGGCAACTTTGTACCTTCTCTGTACACAGGCACTGACCTAACAACTTTCTCCTCTTTCCTGAATAGTTTATCGTCTCTGGATCTCTCTCCGTTGTCATAGAGAAGAAGCGAACTAAATCTTTGGTGAGTTTGGAAACCATAACCCGCAGCATGAAGGATCAAAACGAAACACTGGAGTCTTCAGGTTGTTTGCCCATTGTGAAGTGCAGGACCTCAATCCCAGAACCCTATATTGTTGCATTTAGCATATATCTCTGGGTCCACCACCTTTCTGTCCTCATGACACCTTTCCCCCAACCATGGTGGTCTAAACCAAATTCTGTGATCTGAGCCAGTGTTCAGTAATCTCACCTGAAAATTCTTATGGACCAGTTTTATTGATAAATTTGTTCACATTATTGCCTCCTTAATGATGAAGACACTACACAGTGCTAGAAAAAGGTACATTTGCTGTGGGATCCGTGTACAATCATATGCATCAAATTAAGGGGAACACCCCCCATTAGAATGCTGTTCATGTGAGGGGTTCATTCTCATTCGTTCATCTATCCCACCAGAAAGCTGACAGTGTTATTGGTTTGAATGCAAACTCCTCAGTCACAAAGTTCTTATTAGTCACTCCTATTGGTCAAAGGATCAAGTTTGCCTCCTTGTAAATCTTTCCAGGAGAAACTCAAGTTGGAAGTGACAGGGAGAGGAAAGCTGGAGAAGATTTTGTAACCTACTGTCTTAGTTACTTTTTACTTGTTGTTGAGACAAAATACCTAACACCCAAAATTATGGAAGAAAAGGTTTATTTCTTACATTTCTTGGAGGTTTCAGTCTATACATAGTTGGCTCCGGGCTGCAGGGTGGCATGGTGGGCCACCATTCATGGTTGGCTACAAGCAGCAAGGGGTGAACCAGAAAAAGAGAGAGACACACCTTCCTCCTGAAGTTGCATAATATGCTGACTTCACCTCTAGGCAGGTGTAGCACTCACACCATCAATCCAAGCATGAGACCATGAACCAATCACAAATGCTAGATTCCATAATCCATGAGTTATTGTCCAGTCCATAATTCCCTAAACTTGAGGGCCACTGACATAAACCATGACACCTACAAAGCTTTGCCTAGACGTCACTCAATCTGTGTCCCTCAAAGGGTTCACATAGTCTGAGAGAATGCCACACAAGTGCAATAGCACAGAGACTCAAGTGGAAAGATGATTCTGAAAGTCTCTCCCATGCAGCAAGGAATGTGAAAAACAATGTTCAATGTGATCTCTCTCTCTCTCTCTCTCTCTCTCTCTCTCTCTCTCTCTCTCTCTGTCTCTCTCTCTCTCTCTCTCTCTGTCTCTCTCTCTGTCTCTCTCTCTCTCTGTCTCTCTCTCTCTCTCTCTCTCTCTCTCTCTCTCTCTCTCTCTCTCTCCCTCTCTCTCTCTTCCTCCCTCCTTGTGTATGTGTCTCTCTGTTGGGGTGTCTCTCTCTCTCTCTCTCTCTCTCTCTCTCTCTCTCTCTCTTTCTCCTCTTCTCTTCCTTTCTCTCTCCCTCCTCGCCCCCCTGTCTGCATCTCTGTCTCTGTCTTTCTCTCATCAGAAATTAGAGGCCATTTTTGAGAATTCGCTGCAGATCCTAAGCCACTAGATAGAGCATCTGGCAGATCTCCTGTGATGACTACAATGTGGTACCGCTGTGCTGTTTATTACAGTGGCCAATGATACACTGAAATGTGCCTGGTGAAAATGATATACTAAACCTAAATACTAATTTAATTGTATTTAAATGCAAGTGGTCCATGTGGCTGGTGACAGCCCTGTTGAATAACATGTTACACAAATAATGTTTGCATACTTCCAGAGTCTGGGGGAGTCTAATGGGATTTCAAGGCCCACTGCAAACATGCAGGGATCTCAGTGATACAGAATGCAGCCTCAGGACGGGCTGGCACTCACAACCAATTTCCATCAGGGTGATTTTGACCCTTGTCATCCATCCTTGTTACCTCTGCCAAGTTGAATAAGAGTTCTAACCCAGAAGAAGCCTGGAGCACTCTTAAGTATATACACTCTGGGGATCAGGACTCATCCCCAGCAATAAAGTCTCCACCACTAACCAATTATACAAGGCGCAGACTCAGCCCTAGGGAACATGCAGCAGCCAAACCATAACACTGATCTCTGTCTTTCACTACACTGTTGGGGCTCTAAAGGGTCAAGCTTCAAAGGTCCCCTCTGTGCCCTCAGGCCAAGAACAAGGGGAGTATTCTGTGCACTGCACTGCAAGACCTGTTGGGAGATGGATAAGGAGGCAAAAATGTATTCGGACCCTCAGCACCAGCTCCCCCTCTAGAGTAAGAGAACTTTGTAGGCTCTAAGGCCACATGTGGAGATACACTACTCTCTCTGGACTTCCTAGTGGGGACAGAGAGAGTCAAAGTCTGTGATGCCTTGGTGAAGAGGTCTAAGAGGTGATCATGCTTTCATGATGTGACTCCCACTGTATTTCCTTCCAGGTTTGCAGCAGCCTGGCCTGCAGCTTCTTGAGCACTATATTCGCCCTGGGAGGAATCACTTTGCTGTCTTATACCCTGGATGCTTTGGAATCTGCCTTTCAGCATTGTGAGTTGAGCAGAACGTCACAGCCAAACACCACAGATTATTCTTACTATTACCAAGACAAGTACAGCAGTGGCTGCCTCTCTGCCAAAATCAGTCTAATGGTGCGTGTTTCTAAACAGGTGCTGCCATGCAATGAGCATTGTGACAGCCTCGATGTGTCATAATCCTTCCTCTGGACAGTCTCTCTACCTTCCCCTGTGAGATCCCCCAGGGGAAGCCCAGGGATCAGAAGGGAGTGATGAGGACAGTAAAGGACTGGGCCGGTGGGCAGGGGGAGCTACATACAAATAGGGTGGAGCTGAGGAATAAATGGAAAATAAGGTTGATAAAAAGAAGGTCTAGATAGCAATAAAAATCAAATTGAGAAGCAAAACATATGAGTCCATAAACCAGGAGCTTTGATACGTGGAATGATGAATTCAAAAAACAAAACTTAGCAGAAAGACTCAGTTGATCAGGAGACACTAAAGGAAGTGTGTGTGTGTGTGTGTGTGTGTACGCGCGTGCGTGTGCGCGCGCGCACGGGTGAACTTGGTCAGGGCAGTTTTCAGACCCAGAAATGAGGATCAGAGAGCAGGAAATATGAAAACTGATCTCAAATTGATTGCTAAACTAACCAGTGGGCTGGTATGAGCACTGTCCCTCCCCACGGAGCCTCGCTTGTTCTCTGATGGTGAAGCCACCTTCACCCTGGTAGGAAGCCTTGGGCAACTCAAGCACCACTAACTTCTGTCATCCTGCTTGGTAGGGCACCATGCTTTTGATGCTGATCTGCATGACACTCGAGCTCTGCCTAGCTGTACTCATGGCTGTACTGTGGTGGAAACAGACTCTGTCTAACTTCTCTGGGGTGAGTGAGTGAGTGGGGCCACCCTGGTCCTCATTGGTCACCAGGCATGGGAGATGGAGCCCTTGCCATGGGTCTTGAGATGGCAGGGGTGGTGGGTTGGGTGGGGATGGAAGACAGGTGGGTGACGGAGGCAGATGATGACAGAGGTGCTGACCAGCTGAGCCTCACTGCAGTGGAGAGAGTGCGGCCTGAGTGCAGCTGCTCCCGTCCTCCTGTTCTTCAGCCAGGAACAGCGGCTCTGGGAAGTCCCATGTCTTCCCTGGCATTGCTGTGAGTTTGTGCTGGTGCTCAGGGTCCTGGGCCCTGGCTGCTTCCCTCCTGAGTGGAAGCAATTTCTTCCACAGCAAGGACTCTCTCTGAAGAGTGACTTTCTGAGGAGGACTTGCCACATGAATGGGCTCATGCTCTCTCTTATGTTTTTTTGTCCCTCCTTGGGACCATAGAACTCTTTCTTTTTTTCCTTAAAAAGTTACTAAAGAAATACTATTGGATCAAATTATATGGGCCATTTTCCAACTGCTCTTATGAATACATGGCTTCATTTAACTGAATTAAAATTCTGTGATTCATTCAAACTCTTAATCATAGAGAGAATCTTATACTGATAACCAACAGTTATTCAGAGAACCTAATGATGTGCTGCCCTTATCCTGCAATACTTAAAATTCTATATATAGATGGAGAAATGGCATCAGACTTATTTGATGAAGTCAGTAACCTGATGTATTTTCTTCCTTTTAGACTGTCCTGTTCCAACCTCAAACTTACAAGAATAATTCCAGCATAATTCCAAAAACACATGTTAACCCTGGATATGAAGAGCTAGTAACTCCTTAAGAAAAGAGATAGAAAACATTCAAAAGCAAGTTGGTCTTTAAAGTAATACAGAAGATATACCTTCAGAAGATAGCAAAGTTTGAGGTCCCTTGATGTGAGCTCTCTCATACAATGAGCATTAAAGGTCTTGATTAATGTGTGTGTTCAGTGATATTCTCTTGATTTGCCTGACATTGTCCTTAGGAAAAGCAGTGCCATGGAAACTCAGTCCACTGCCACGATAGCAATTCGATGGTCCTTATGAGCACAAAGATCACAGCTTTTCCCTGTATCCCTTAATTTTGGCAGGCATGGACTCCACCAATTGTTATGGTGCCATGACTCTGTAGGTGGCTCTAGCATTCATCTAGCATTCAGAGAAATGATCTCCTACCTTGCAGAGACAGGAACTTTTAGGAAAGTAGTTGAAATCAAAATAAAGTCTTCATGTGGTAGCAAATTTTATTTGAAAATTCACTTTGTTATTTTTCCTTGAGGCACAGAATAAGTCAATAATGATAAATACAAATGTATACGTGAGTCCCTTCGCTCCCCAATGACCATTCAACCAATAAAATAAACCAAAGCTAATCAGAGGTATTCATCTCTCAGAAGTTTTTCTGATTTCCAAAATAAATAAAGATAATTGCAAATTGTATTACTCCTCTGCATTCACAAACAAGCAAACACACACTGTACGCATCATTTCAACTGTTGCTTCCCCTGTTGTTTAATTTACCTCTACTTTTGCAGGGCAAGACATCAGGATAAAGGAATATACTAAGATGAATCTAAGTGTATATTCAGTGTTTAGCAAAATGCTTGTTATAAAAGACACCATGTTTGATCCCAGGGTTCCAAATGAATACGATACCCTCCCTGGCTTCAAGAAATGTGTGCTCTAATAGAGGAAGTGAAGGCAGCAGTAAAATTAAAGTCATATTGTTTAGGACACTCATTTCTGTTTCAGCACAAATTAAAGTTCACTTTTCTGCTTAAGAAGGTGGTGGACAAACGAGAGAGAGAGAGAGAGAGAGAGAGAGAGAGAGAGAGAGAGAGAGAGAGAGAGAGAGAGAGAGAGAGAGAGAAGAAAGAGACAGAGACACAGAGAGTACTTCCCAGTGGACCCCACTTCATAGTGTCCATCAAATAGTTCTACTTCCTGTCACCAGGGAAGAATGTCACTGTGGTGGATTAACAGCTGGTGGTCCGCTTGTGAAAACCAGCTGAACTGCATCAGCATAGTGCTGGATGTGGATTGCCCACCTGAGGTTTGTTGCCAACATAAACAGGGGAGCCAGGGAGGAAGCAGTATTCCTGGTTTTCCTGGGTGTTGCTGGTTCTCTTGTTGCCACTGCTTCTCCTGGAGGAGCTTATTTTTTTCCTGATAGAACTTTACCATTCTCATCATTGGAGGAGTTTGGGACCGTGTTGTTCCTGAGAATGGCTGCAGTTCACTTTGGGGGAGCTCTGATGCTTACTATGAGCATTGCTTCCTAGCTCTAGGGCAGGAGGGAGGACGTGGGAAGCTGGTCACACTGGCTTCCTGATATGAACTCCGCTGTTCTCATCTTAGGACCTTGTTGTCAGTGAGAATGGCTGTGGCACTTTTCAGGGGAGCTGTGGTTCTAATTGTGAGCATCGCTTTCTGGCTCCAGTGCAGATAGCTCATCCTGCTGGCACAGATCCTTCATTCCGCTGGCACAGACTTCCTGGCTTGCACTGCTGACCTTTGGGTTTTCCCAGCACAGATCCATGAAACAGATTTATATGAGGCATTGTCGTGGGATGCAATAAAAAAAAGAGGAAAGCTGAGGTCAGGTGGAGCCCTCTCTCCTTATAGAAGAGAAGGAACATCTCACCACCATAGCACCTTTATTTATCCACTCAGGAGGAGGAGTCAATTTCAACCCCACTGCCTAGCAACTGGTTTGTCTGCCTGGCCTGGCATCTTGCGTTTTCCCAGCAGAAACAGCTTGTTTACCTGGATCACTTTGGGCTCTCCATGTTTCCAGGGCTGGCCTTCCTTTAGCCCCACATGTGTGATTGGTCTCCAGCTTCAGCTGCTCCCTACAAGAAAGAATCATGAGAAGATATATATTGTCCAAAGGATCTCAAATATAATTAGGAAAAAAAGAATTAGAAAATTTGAGTGGTTTTATAAAGAAAGGAACAGTATTTAACACCTTCTAGGCCAGTGTATCTTATGTTTCACTAGCTTCACTCGTGATTAATTTCGAGACTTAAAGAAAATAATAATTCATAAAGTCATTCATAATAAAGTAGCATAAAACACATTCCCAACTTATCCTATGGCCTGAGTGTCTGGATGTCAAAGGCAGAAGGAGCTGTTAGAAGAAATAACATTTTGGAGAAACTTTGTGATCTCACTGAGGTCGTGTAGGATGAGCAGCCTTGTGGAGTGTCTTTTCTCCCCGTGTCTCTCACACTCTGGTGACCCACAAGCAAACCATTCAGGATCTTGTCTCTATCTTTCTGTAGCCAAAGAGACCCTTTCAATCCCACCAGCACCTGCGCGTTTCCGGAGCTCCAGGAAGGTCTGTCGTCTCCCTCGCCGAGGATTGCGGAGCAGAGCCTTTGCCCCTTCCTGGCACCCAGGATTGCCCTTCCTTTAATCCACTCTGGTAAGGTCTAAGGATCCCTTTCACATATTTAGGCAGTTTATTAAGGTCGCCCAAGTGGTTAGGCTGGAGCGCCCCCTTCTGGCCATAATGGCAACGTTCACATTTTCTACTAGGTAGACTTACACAGTGCAATCGTTAACTGATTTGCCACTTTGCTTTTCTTTTGATGCAGTTTCCTACCGGTCCATTTTGCTAAATCCAAGGATTAGTAATCTTCAGGAAGTGATTCAAAGTTTGTGCTCTTATGAACATCATTACTTATGATTCTAGGCCTAACAGCTTGCTTCTACTGCCTTCTGCTGCAATGTCTTTTAAATTCATGAGAACATTCTCGGTAACATTTTTGTTAAAGATGTTTCTTATTTTCAGTGCGACATCTGCAATTTCATTTCGGGTGACAAATGTTCTAACAGTTGTGGTTAGGGTTCTTGTGTTTGCCCACAGGACCGTGTGAAATGTGCTTACATATACAAGCTTTGTCACAGGAATAGATGATATAGCAACAGCGTTCAGGTAAGGTGAGCCTCCCTACCTTAAGACTGCCTCCTCTGATGGATCTTGAGAGGCCATGAGCTCCAATGGTCTTGGCTTCCTTCTGTGATGCTTGTTCTGTTTGTGATGGAGCCACAGTAGGATTCCTCAGAACCAGAAATTCCCTCAATGGTGAACCAGGTAGGGCCTCTGACAGATGATTTGTTTGTGGGAAGATTTCTTGCTACATCATCAACCACCACAGCATGTCATTCTGTGCATCTCACTGAGACCCCATGCAAATCAGTCACCCAAGTGTGATCCATACATAATGCTTGTGAGTTAGAATAAACTGTTGAGTACCTCCACCCACACTTCACCACCAGGTACTAGGATTATTCAGTGTGCTTCAGCATTGCTGCAAGAATGACAGCAAAATACCTTGAGATGATTCCACATCTGCTAGTAATAAGCCTAAAGACAAAGAAACAATAGTTAAACATCAACAAAAGAAACAATCATTAAAACATTTTGTGATCAGACCATTCTTGGATCTGATTTCTGATAGTACACAGAACAGCTGTTAAATGCTTCTCTGTTGTTGTGTCTGCCCATAGCTCACTCCATTACACTGCTGAACAGCATTGCATGAGCTTTGCTTTTGATGGGTATATGAGGTGTTTTAGAATTGTGAGCAAAGCCACAGTAATTACAAGATTATAAATATGCACCTTGCCGTGTGTATGCGCTGTATGTTTGCATCTCTTGAACAAACACGGCAAATAACCTGATTAGATGAATGCATATTTACCTATGTAATAAATTTTCAAACTGTTCTTCAAATATTTTTAATGTTTTAAATTTAAAATAGTCCTATTCCATGTGATATGTGATATGTGATTAGATTGAATAAGTCCAACCAGGAGTGATGGGTCTTCAAACATTCAACACACCCTCCTGTTTTACATAGCACATCTGTAAACTGTGTGTGTCCATACTCTTGAAGAATTGTGGACTGTAACTTGACATCTTCATGTATCTCTGTTCATTCTTACTTGAATTTGTGACAAGTAATCATAAAGGAAGTGGCATCAAGCGATGCAAGCAACGAGGTGTGTATTTTGGAATTCTGCACCTTATGATCCCATGCTGGGGTCACTAGGCTGAGAGCCAGCACCCACAGGACTGCCTTCTTCCTGGAGCCTCAAAGGAGGAAAATACCATCCTTGTGGGTACTAGTTTCTCAGTCCTTTTTATGTGTCAGAGCTGGGAATGTGTCTGTGCCTGAAAGGGATCTTTTTGATTAAGATAATATAACAGAATGATGGAAAATGAAATATATATTAGGCTATGGTGGACCCTGGTTAGTGTTTATTTTCATGAAACACATGTGCTAGAACACCAGTGTAAGAGAAAGCAGAGGCAGACAGGGCTGGTGCAATGAGTGCTTATCAAGATGGAGTTCTTTCCTCCTGAGAAGATTTGCTCAGACCTGGGCAAAAGTTGAACAGTCCAATCCAAGAAGTACATTACTTTGTTTTCTTGCAGTTTTGGGGACCTTAAAACGACACTCTGGTCCATAGATAATTTAGATAATACAATGGTGGGTAATCAAAAAAGTCAACTAATAAGAACTGTTTCCTACACTTTGTTTGTCTTGGCAGCAATCTGCTGCAGAAACCCAGGGACAGTGCAATATGTGCATCACAATCTTACATGAACTCTGCAGGGTAAAAGCCAGTAGGATGATAAGGGGAAGTGGATATTTCAGCTTCTACTGAAATCCCAGCTCTTCATAGAGATACTCAGGAGACACTGCAGAGTGCCTGGGGTCACTGCTTGAAAACTAAGTGACCACCTGTGAAGAAATCAGGACAGTGGGTTCTTTACATCACAGCATTAGCAGAGAAAGAGCCCCAGGCTCCAGCATTTCCTCTGTGCTGTCACTGGTCACGTTCTTTCATCCTCCTGGTGCCTGGAGGTCACTTCCCATCCTCACCCTAACACTGCTTTTCATAGGGTCATTCCAGGAGGATTTCAGGAC